TTATCTTTTTTAAAAATATAATAATAATTTTTTAAATTAATAAAAAAATATATTTTATTCTTTTCATAATTTCTATTAGCGGTATTTGTATTCTTGGAGTAAAGTGTCTATTTTGAAAACTAATGGACCTCCGTGTAATTTTGATCAAAACTTAGAGATCTAAGAGTATTTTACCCTATTTTATATTATTGTAATAAAGGTAAAATACAAAAACTCCCCTTAGTACACCTCTAAAGTACACCTTGGCCCATCTGGTTTCAAAATGCATTGTTACCCCCTTTGATTACTCATTATCATTAGTAAGCAGTTATTTACAAATATATATATAAAAAAAGGTAAAACACCCCCACTCCATAACCTTTTGGTATAAGTCCACGCGGGTTTATTAGTAGTAGAAATGGATAATATGCCTCAAAAGTATAAATATCGTTAACAAAAAATATGAAAAGATTAAAATATCCTTTCTTCTGTATTAGTTTCAAAAATTATTATCATATAATTTTTAAAAAAATTAAAAAAAAATTAAGGAGCACCATTGATGCTCCCCAACTCCCAAAAAGAGGGGAGCACTGGCTGGTGCTCCCAAAAGATGGAGGAAGCACCAGATCTTGGTGTTCCCCGTCCTTAGGAGCATGGATCTAGTGCTTCTTTCTCTTGAGGGAGCATCGATCACTTGATTTTTTTTTGCAAAAAAGAAATTATAGAATTGTCATTTTAAAAATTAATAAATGGTAAAATTATTTTTTCAATATTGTCACGTTATCAAACTAATTGAAACACTAACGGTTAGACTAATGTGTCCAGTAAGAGATATTAGTTTGGGACAGAGTATCTATTTTTAAAATTAATAGATCCATTTGGAGTTTCGATTAAAACTTAACGGTAAGGTATTTTACCTTAAAAAATCATAATTATCGTCAAATAATTGAAAAATAAAAATAAAAAATATCATAATTGAAATTATTGAATAATAATAATAATATTTTTTATTCAACAATTATCGATTTAGAAAATAAAAAAAAATAGTTCCTAGAAAAGAAAGTTGTTCTACTTTT